CAAGAAGAGGATTCTCCATCCAGGCAATTCCTAAATGCTTCTGGAGCTGGAGTAGCACCCCCTTCTTGAAGTGTGTAGATGCAGGAATTGAATGCATGGTGCAATGCATTCTTCTTGGCCCTCTTGTGCGAAGAACATTCAGCTCATAGCATATAGAAGCTGTACTGTAGTTTCCAAGAGGTAACCTTGGCAGGACCTTCTTTGAAGGGATCCTTACATGTGATTGGCCACTTGAAGAGACTGGAGAGTTGCATGCAGGATAAGAGTCGTACACAATAAACTTGGTGCCAAGGAAATTGGACCTATTAAAGGAAACTAATTAGTTCCATGAGAAAAATCAAGGATGACCCAGAAAAGAAATTTAAAAAACCAACTCAACTTTCCAACGTAATAATCATTAGCTCGAGAATAATCATCAGCAGAATAGGATATCACAAATCAGTCTTTGTGGCTCTTCTAATCTTTTAGCCGCTAACAAAGTTTACTAGCATTCCTGAAAGTGCTGTTATAACATCGAAATAACCAGCTCATGTAGTAAATAGATGGAGGCATGCTGTAAGTATCTGATTTATCAGTTCTAAGAAAAATAAATAAAGCCAATAAAATCGGGTTATGGATATCCTTCAAATGTGGAAGACAGTTAATTCACAATAAAGCAAAAAGTAAGGAGGACAAAATATAAAGTTCCTTAAATTAAGAAGAATAATAGTAATTGTTAAGGCGAGATAGCATATTTACCAGGACTCAATCCAAGATACAAGCGAAATGTCGAAGTTCCTCTTTCTCTTCTGATAAAGCATTGGATTGGATAATCCTTGGCCAGGCTAATAGAAGTACAAAGGGTAGCACCCAGAAGAAAAAGAAACTGTTATTACCTTGCCTTGGACATTCAGGGTGGTACTTCAATCTGCTATGTGCTAGAAACTAATACACCAGACAGATCTCAAAAGACAAATAAAAGAATTTTGATGCTGACGGATTACCTGCTTCAGTGACATGGGAAAGGTGAGCAAGCCACATTGCTCAGGAGTCCTAACAATTCCTTAGTTACTTCTCTCCAGGACCGGCAAACAGCAGCACAAACACCACATCCCTTCTGGCAGGCCATGAGGTCTCACTGGACTCAACTCTGCGAATGATATCAAAAAGCAACTCGTAGGCAAATTCGCCCACGCGACTTTGTTGAACAACTGCAAATACGGATGGTTGTGGACTTTCAGGAGCTATATGTGATCTCCCGCAGCCTAGGACAGACTTCTTCTCCCTTGCTTCCTCCACTTAGTCTCTCTGCCACTGCTTATTGCCCTAACTCTCTAAAAATGGACTTCACGACATTCTCCAAACACTCTATCTTCTTCACACAAACAAATTTCACAAATCCAATTCCAAATCAGTAAAAGTCAATCACGCATCCCAAAATTTATAACAAAAGCAGCAAGACATCACCAATCAGAAATAATAAAAACAAACCACGATTCTTTTGATGATAGCTTTTTTCAGCCTTTCTTTACCTGAAGATGAGTCTGAAAGTTCAGATTTTCAACGAACAGAATTTAGGGCCTGCACAAAACACCACTTCCACACTGCAAACCTGCGAAAAACAGCCAAGCGAAACACTCAAGTTCCAAGTTTTTTCCAGTTAACACCGTGACCAGTAGTGTTCATTAAACTCAGAAACCTAGCAACTTCTGCAAGCGTGCTTGTAAGATAAGAAACAGTGTACTTAAATCAAGAAAAGGAACTATTCAAACTTTAAAATAAAAATCCCTTATTACTTGCGAATCAAAAGGGTAGTTGATATAATGCCGTGCAAATAACAAATGGAATCACAAAATTTTCGCATCCCAGTTGTGATTGCCATTTCAAAATCCTTTCTTTTGCTCCAAAATTTTCTCAACAGCCTAACAAAACCATCACATTAGAAATCTTACTCAGTCAATGCAGAGACAGAACGAGATAAAGATCCAACTTTTTCACATTCAGACAATAATAATTAGCACATACCCTTACAAAGTAAACTATACATTAAAAAGATAAGAAAACGCAGATGCCAAGGGGGACTTACTCTACTTAAAGATAAAACCCATTCACGTTTCGATGTCTCCCACACACAAAGCACAACCCAGCTTCTGATTTCTACGATACCCGTCGTCCCCGATGTTTGCAAAAAGAATATACGTAAAGGAGAATATTATATAGTACTTCAAAGTAATATTGAAGTATGACTATTTCTGGGAGAAAACAAAAGCCAACAACAAATTGGCAAATGCCAAACGAGTACTCTCTCGAAAGGGTGTGCTTATTATGTGAGTTGTTTATACTTTATAGAAATCACATTTTTTTTTTAGACTTGAGAGTAACCACCATCACCCAGCATACGGCGGAAAGAACACACCGCGAACCCTACCAAAAACGTCTTGTTAAAGGTCATTTGAGCATGGAGGGACGGATACGTGTTCTTCATGTAATCGTGGATTGGCGGGGCTGTGTGGGTTCGTGGTTGGGGTGGGGTGCGGGGGGTGGTCGGCCTTTTTTACAAGGAACGTCCGTTAAATTAACGCTGGAGGGTGGGTTCGGTGAGGGAGTTTTATGGGCTACGTGGAATTGGTTGGGTCTGGGGGTCGGGGCCCAGTACCATACATCTTGATTAGTTCGTCCTTTCGGGATTTGCACGCCGCACCTGCACCGTGGGCCCCTGCATTTAGCACTGTAGATCGTATTCAATATTGCTTGATTATTTGGAGTGGTTGATTATGGACAAAGGGATTTCACCGTGCCAAGCTTTAGTGGATCTCAATAGCTTAATTAATCCACACACTTTGTAGTAATCTAATCGAGCTAGAAGGGGTTTTAAACATTGAAGAACACAATATAAATAACTTTTTTTTTTGTTTCAACTTAATACAAATCATTGGCAATGAGAAAATTTGATTGGAGAATTAAGTAGCTTAATTGACATTTCAATTACCTACTTATAGATTTCAATTCCTTATAAATACACTTGTTGTCGTTCAGCAAATTCTTATCAACATTTACTTATTAGTGTTTAAAGCCAAGAACAAGAAATGAGATATCTAAAAGTATAATTCGACACTGCTTAAACGTAAAATCGATATTACTTACAGTAATATTCACGTAATAGTTAATTTTCTAGATCAGCGTTCACATAATGGTAGTATGGTTAGTATAGCACTCCCTGCTCAATGTTGAAACTGTTTGATATGATTCAATCACACACTCTATTCTATTAGAATAAATATCTTTCAAACTCCAATTTGGAACATGAGTTGATCGATTGTCTTTGAGTGGAGTGAAGCTGAAAAGCACTTGTGAATTGGCCAAGTTTGTTTACCTTGCTGCCCTAGCCTGTATATGGAAAAGTTTTTTGTTTTAGGTTTGAAGTGTTTGGCAACGTAGGAGGAGCTGAGGAAAGGTTCTGATCGACATTATCAAAAAAATTTGCAATTACGTTTATGGTAATGCAACCAAAACATACTTCTCGTGCATGCATCAAAATGTTCTCTTTTGTTTTTCCTTCTTGCCCTCATAACCTCTCCGTCTCTAATGGCTTCAAACCACTTTCACTCTTTTTTCCGCTGATAAAAAGCAAAAAAGATAGATAAGATAGCCCTTTCGGGGATCACCATCTTCTACGTACTCTCAATTGAAATGTCTTTTCTGTTTTTTCAGCCCTTTAATTACAAGTCTATACTTTTAGTAGTAAACGCCTAGGCCTAGCTAACATATAGTTAAAATTTCCTTCGTTAGATCAATATGTATATATATATTTCCGTACGTACAGAGTGAAAACTCGGGATATTTTCAAGTCCGGACAACGTTAACCAAATTGCGGCAGGTCTCTCCGACAGCGACTTTGTGCTGTGAGATACGCTGTCAATTTGAGTCGAAGGCGCACGTGCGTGCATCTCTCCATCCATTTTACTATTGCTGCCTTCCAATCTCAATCGACCCCTTTTGCATTTAAGTTTAGACTAGGTGGTAACACCGCGCTATGCGCGGTGGTATACATGCCCAGTTAACGTTTAGCTAGAATACAGGGGAGAATGAAAATTAGCAGCACAAAATGGAGCTATATTATATAGGAATATGAGCGAAAAATCAGTTGTACTGGAAAGGTGTAATTATACGGGCATTGTAAATATGTAAAGCAAACAAAATAATATATCACCGTATAATGCTGCCTTACATTTTTTATGTACACAAAAACTGTGACTTTGTAGCTCAAAATGAAAAAAAAAAAAAAAACAGCCCAATGTAGTATTGCATCAAGGCTTGGCCTTGTTATTAGAATCTGATACAACCAATCACCTGTTTTCGTAATTACATATCAACCTTAGTGAGATAAACTGCATTTGACCAAAAACGAAGGAGGATTACTAATGCAGGGTGTATCCTGTCAATACATCAATAGCATAGGGGATGGTCAACTACTTAACACACACAAAAAAAGGAAAAAGGAAGTTACACAAGCCTTGATGCAATTCTACCCTTGATCATTGGATGGACGTCAACAGCTAGAATCCCATAAAAGGAAAGATGAGTGCATGAGATAATGTACATTTATGAAACTTAAGACCAGTAGACCGCAGTTCAGAGGTTCTCATTACATATCAAACCTGTTCCGAAGAAAAAAAAATGCAGTGTGTAGTGTTGCATCAAGGCTTTTCCTTGTTATTAGAATCTTACACTTCAAACTAACCAAGGACCAAAAAACACATTACTGTGTAGTACAATAACCAAAAAGGTTTTCATTAGCCTGTAACTTCAAGAAATCCGATGAAAAGAAACTCTGCTTACATATCACCTTTAGTGGGATAAATTGCATTTGACCAAAAAAGGAGGAGGATTATTAATATAGGCCACAATTCTATCCTCTGATACATCAGTAGCAAAAGGAATGGAAACTTGGTACAAAATAACTGACCAAGTTGTACAAGATTTCAAACCAAACAAAATATCATGATAATCCACCATCCACGTGAGATATAAAGCATCAAGAGCTGATATACATTTATAGTAGGTAATACAGAGATCACATAGCTACTGTTAGTGCAAAATCTAGTATCCAGGGTCATACGCTTCCAGGCTTTGATCTTGATAATGCTTCAAGGATGGCCGATTCTGCTTCCTACATAACTAAACACGTAGTTTTGTTAATCAGATGGCAGAAGCATTCTTGAGTGGTACTGCAAAAATCCACTTTATACGGTTAAATATTAGCAGCAATTACCATATTTTCCAAAAGTATATATCATAGTTTTTTTTCTTTTATCATTAGCCCTCCCATTTTAAGCTAACTTTTTTCACTTACAGGAACATCAACATCTGTGTCTATCTATGCACCTATATGCCAGACAAGCTTTTTCCATATAATTATCCCTGAAGGCAAAAGTATGGGGCAAAGGTTTTTGTACAATTCATAGGTTGGGGCATACTGCACCAGTGTAGCCAAATAATAAATGAACAATCTTCAATTACAATATAAAACATGCAATAACTACAAATACACAATTTTCCATTACATTATTATATACACAATACAGACACCGTTGTAAAAAAAATTTCCATTCATAGAGATAGTTATATTAAAACGAAAGGTGAAATAAAAAAGGTTACAATCAGCACTTTAAAAGTAGTAGAAGGCCATTATTTGCTTTATTATATGTCGATAAATTTAATACCTAATTCCATCATGAAGAGCCCGGTGTCCATCTAATTTAATGCTAAATAAGGACACAAAGAAACCGTTTGCAAGTTAAATAGCAGAAAAGATAATCAACAGAAACTTAATCATTTTCTCTTAATCACAGAGGTATCTACTAATTATTAGTATACAAGCACATCCATTTGACTAAGATATTTTGCTAAATAAAGTGTAACAGCTTACCTGTCCAAAGCTGAACTATGCTAAAAGCCCAAAGCTTGGGCTTAGACTGACTGATACAAAACAAAGCATTACCCCTATAAAATTCAACCCAAAAAGTGAACAACAATAAATATGAGCAAAAATAATTGTTCATATGCAAAATGGAAACAAATAGAAAAAAAGAAGGTTATAAAATGTTACACAGAAATAATTACCAAGTTTTTAGCCAAAGACATTGTGCTTTGAACAACCCATGAATCCAAAACAACCAAAAAATACACCAAGCAATTTTCCCATACATAATAGAAAATCACATAAGTTTGTACAGGTGCTGTAGAAGGCCAGGGAAAAAAGGACAAATAAGTAACAGGAGAACTATTAAAAATGCGTGTAAAAAAATAGTGAAAAAACTGAGATCTGGAAGAATGAAACTGAAAGAAGCAAAATCACATACAATTTTTCTTGATAATGATCTTCTCTTGACAGCCTCGGTCTCCAAGAAAGCATGGACAGAAAATCAGATTTCCTTGTTTTTGGATTTAATTCTTCCAACCATACTCCTTGTTTTGGAGAGCGAGAAGGGATCGGCGAGAGAAGAGACGGCAACCCTTTGGGATTTGAAGGAGATGATGTCGAGATAGGGTTTCTGGAACTACTACGTGGGTCCAAAAAACTTTATAAAATTTGTTAGTAAATCCTTTTTAATTTTTTTGGGCAAGAGCAAAATCAAGATACAATTTCTTATAAAGGCATTAGATCGGGAAAAGTTCCAAGAAACTTTCTCAAATTTATTAAATCCTTTTTAATGCTTTTTGGCCAACAGCAAAATCAAGATACAAATATGTCAAGAAAAGGAAGAATACAAGGCAAAAGAAAGGGGAAAAAAAGAGCAAAGCTAACCACGTGTTTTAGAACCCAATTAAAAAAAAGGGAAAAAATCTCAGAGTCTCACAAGAATGCTGGAAAAGATTCGAAAATTTTCACCTGCAATATCAAAAATATATACCAATTAGATTAGATTAGATTAGACAACTAAAGCTAAAAAGAAACACAAAAGGCTAGAGAAATTCAGGGAGGGAAAGGAAAAAAAATACCATCTGTTTTGGTCCTGATGTTGCCGGTTATGGAGAAGAAAAGAGATAGAAGGGCTTTGGGGGCATTTAGGAAAATGAAGAAGAAAACAGAGAGATGGGCTTAGAGAGAGAGGAGAATGGCGATGAACAAGGAAAAGAAATGGGAGAGCAAGTGACCTTCTTCAATCAATCACATCTGCGTTTAAAAAGAATGAAAAAGTAAATGAAATGGGAACCTAAGAAAGGCTTGGACGAACACTCTCCAACCAATCACATGTTGCGGCGTCAGCAACACAAGCACCCTCTTGAGGCATTGCATTCCCCTTTTATATACATGTTGAAGAAAACAAGCTATGAACCAAAATTTGAATACATCAATACATTGAAACTGCATATAAGCAAGCTAACAAATGAATTTCAAATCAAATATTAAATAATGTGCAATAAATGAAAATTTTCATAAAAATTTAGAGACTACAAAATTACAAGGATCTCATGGTAAAAGAAACATAAAGTAAACAACAATACATCAAAAGACTAAACATACCTAATTAAGGAGAAAAAGGACAAACTCACTCTCATCGAGATGCTGGATGCTAAAAGACATTTCCATTTTTTTTGCACCTGCAACATCAAAGATATATACAAATTAATATATAAAAATTTGACTGCTAAACCCCCACACAAAAAAAGATCCAAAAGGCTAGAGAGAGAAAGAAGAAGAGATTAGAAACCCAAAAAAAATCCCAACCATCCTCGTTGTTGTTGTTGTTCTCAATCAAAATCGGAAAGAAAAAAAAAATGACGAAGAAGATTAGAGAGATGAGGGGATAATTGAAGAGAAAGATAAGGAAAAGAGAGACAATGATGAAGGGGGGAGGGGGGTTTGGAGCAAACAGAGAAGTAACCGATAATAATAACAAAAAGAATAAAAAAAACCACAACAGATTGATACGAAAGTAAGTAGAAAGGAAATTACCTGTAGCAATAGACAGGCGAAACCTGAAGAACAAGCTAGACGAATCAGCTGAAATGGGTCTGCATAAGCAAAAGGAGGAGAAAGGAAAAAAAATTATGCGGGAAAGAAACCATACGAAAGCTGAGAAGCAGCTGTACAAAGCAGCAAGCAACAATAAGCAATTTACAGCAAAAGAAAGCAAAGAAATAGTGTAACTGCAGCATACAAAAGGCATATGGGGAAAATTAGAGAAAACAAAAGGGGAACACATACTGATTCAGCAAAAATGGGGGGGGGGCGAGTGCAGGGGGAAACTGGGGGGGATTAATGGACAACAATTGTGGGGCAAAGGAAAATGCAAAAGGGAAATCGGGGATCGGGGGGGGGGGGAGAGCAGGAGAGGAACGGAAGCGGAAAAGGAGATAAAAGCAGATGAACAAAAGAGGAAGAGAGGTTACCTAGCGCAGCGAAAAGGGCAAGGAAGGGGAGATGCAACAGCGGCAAAACAGGAACGAAAGAACAAATGGTTGATTGTAGGGAGAGGTAAGGAGAACCAACAAAATGGGGCATCATGGCGGTAACCTAATCTGTCAGCAGGCAAGAGGAGAGAGCAGGTGGAGAAGACGTGTAAGGAGGTCAAGGGGAACAGTAACTCGTGAGGGGAAGGAGCTGCAGGATGGGAGAGAAAGCGGGGGAAAGATGCGTGGGCAGAGCAACCTAGCAGAAAAAAGATAATTATCTGGAGAAAGGACGTGTGGAGAAGATAATTTTATGAGTGGAGAGAGAAGCAATTCGTGGCCGAGGAAGAAAGTAAGAAACGGGGAGAAGGACAGAAGCAGGATGGAGCCGGTACAGAGGAGCTGGGCGAGCGAGCAGAGAGGGGCCCGATGGGCAGGAAAGAACAGCGCATGCAAACAGGACCAAAAGACACGGCAGCAGAGAGGAAGAAGAGTGGAGGAGGAGGAAAAACTTGGAGTGGGTGGAGCCGGTACAGAGGAGGCTGTCAACCAACCCCCTGCAGAGCAGCGGAAAACAGTGCCAGCGAAAGACACAAAAGCACGACCACGCAGGGAGGAAGGATCGGGTGCAACGAGAACACTCGACAACCAATGCATTCAGCCAACGTCACCATCAAACCAATCCCACGCCGCCACGCGGAGGACGACCACGTCCACGTGGACACCGGGCTTCGCCCCTTAGTCTATATGGTTAATGATAACGATGCCTGTAGGGCTGTAGGTTTTATACAGGGGAGGAAAATTAATGGTCCTTCATTTAAAAGGGAAAAAGAAATATTATTGATTGAGTGTTCATAATCATATGTGTGTCCTTCGTAAATTGATGATGACTGTAAATTCAGTAGAGAAATGAAATTAATATGATATCAATCCAGCTGTTGCGAGGACCATCAACTAAAATTTGGACCATTTAATTGATCAACGGACTGTGATAGCACATCATCATTTGAGTAGTTCATATGATTTTCCATCAATGAAGTCTACAGACAGGAATTTTAATGTAAAACTAATCAAATTAAGTTGAGATCGTGAAACAAAAAAATAAGGAGCCGGGCCAAGTTGTATTTATCCAAATCTATTGTGGGGGTGGGGGAGCAAAAAGAAGAGGATCCCAAGAAAATGGAAAAGAAAAGAGATTTTGCCATAAGTGATTAATGAAAAGCTCGGTGTATATCACCTAGTGGTAATGACCATGGCATTGTGCTAACATTCATTAGAACAGTCGGTAAGGATAGAGCATTTTCCAACAAAAGGTCTTGGATGTGCAAGAAACCCTCTGTCTATGATTCCGGAAATATGTTTAGACTCCAATCGTGATCGGAGTGATTCTATCAAAAAAAAAAAAGAAGAGAAATGACCATGGCTTCGTTAAAGTGCACCACGAGTAGTCAAATGATTGAATAAGATGATAAGACGTGAGAAATTGCAAGTAGGAACTTTTGGTTCAAAACCTCTCACTTACAAATTATTTAAAAAAAAAAAGAAAAAGGTGTGCACTACGGGGAGAAAACCAAAGTGATAACCCCAAAATTATTTGATTCCTCGCTTCATCTTTCTTGTGGTTCGTTACGCCCCGCCATCCGATTGCTGCTGTTGAAGATATTGTCGAACTGGAACGTGCGGACAAGTGACTTCCAGACGAGAAAATTTAAAGGATGGTGACATGAATTTGACGGGCATCTTCGACGCTGTATGAGGTTAGGAGCTATGTCCCAAGAGGAAACAGCTTGAAAAGTGTTTTATCAATAGCAGAATTTAGAGCACAATTAGGGGGAGTTCTGAGCGAGCAACGACATGTACCAAATTGCAGTCCCTACTTCCAGAAGTGCATCATCACGTCTTCTACAGAAGCCTTCCCAGCTAAGGCCGACATTTCAGACAGAATTGATATGTGGTGGAGTGACTACTTTTAAATATTAAGTGCTAAGTGATCCGAATTCAAAGCCAATGTCGATTACTCTATCAACTGCTTGTGCCGGAGAGGACTTTCATACTAGTTTCTTTTGCCGTTCATCAATACCATTCAATCCCCTCATATTTTTTTTTGACAAAAATCAAAAGGAACCAAAAGAAAAGAAAAAAAAAAAAAAAACTTTCGGAGAAGAGTTTCAACTTTCAAGGGTCGAAGCATTTACTCTAACACAGTTACAAGCTAGTGTGTAGTTGGCAAAATTGTAAGGATATTTAGGATGATCAAGTTTTATTACCCTTGTCAAGTTGAACACAAAAAAGAAGAAAAAACAGAAGTTGCGTTCCGTCGATCTTTCTCGGTCCAAATTTCTGTCCTGGGCCTCCTGGCTTCCATCTTCTTTGAAATATGCACAAACTAGTTATGGGTGCTAAGTACCAGCTAACTCGAGTGGTTTTTGAGCTGTGCAAAGGTAAGAAGAAGAATGTAACTTCATCCTGTCCGAGTTTTCTTCACAGAGTTAGCTTACTTCTTATATATCTTGCAGAAAATGCGAAATGAAAAACAAGAAATCGCCATTGTTAACAGATGAAGATTACGACTCTAGGTAGGTAAAAGATCCATATCTGCTGATCTCCCCTCTTGTTGAGACAGAAGAAAGAAAAGCAGTAGTATAAGCTGAGAAAGAATGCGGAGACCGACAAGTTTCTTGGAAAAAAATGGTAGAACTGGAAAAATATTTTAGTATTAGTAACAAGGAGTCAATGAGAGAGACCTATGATCAAGACGTGGCCACGTGGTAAACAAAGCCCAAGCCCAGAAAATGTGCATAGTCCTATCCATGAATTGATGAGTTCCCAATCCAATCGCCACTGTCGCTGCAGATCCATGAACTTGGCCAGTTCATTGTTCAAGAACGATCCCGGAATTAAATCGGTCGCTTGCTCGATAAAATGACGTTAGCCAGATCGAATCACATCAGTCCGGTTTGATCTAAATCATTCTAAATATCATTCTAAATTTGAAATG